CGTCTCAAAAATAAATAAATGTTAAAAGAAATTTAAAAATAAATAAATAAATAAAATAAAATAAAATAAAATAAAGACTACAAGTCAAAATGTTCCACATGGTTCCCGCCACCTCTGACGTTGTGAGACTAACACCCACGTGTGAGCGGAAATACCGACAGCTCTGTACTCATGGGACATAACACCCTTTTTTTATTGGGGAAGGCTACAGGGACTCCCTGCACTTTGCTTCTGGGACTTCTTTCCCAAAGCCAACAACTATCGAGTACAAAAACCAGACCAACTAACAAACCAGTTAGTCACGTTATCTCTGGCCTGAAGGCAGAGTATGTACCCCGCTTGGGTCCTTGAAGCTCCTAAATGATTCTGTGTGACAAAAGACGGCTGTCCTTGACAAGGAGTCTGAGGGAAGACTGTCAGGCCTGCCTCTGAGCCACTGTGTAACTTTGGGCAAGTCACTGCCCCTCTCTGGGCCTTAACAGCCTCATTTCTAAAAGAGGAACGGGACAAGACGATTTCTGTGGCTCCTTCCAACCCTCACATTCGAAGGCTCTATGTACCGAAAGTGAAATTGTGTGCCTGGCACATGGTCACACAAATAACCACACTGACAACAAAGGCCTATGCAGTGTTTGCAGAGTGAAGTGTAGCTGGCACTCGGAGAAGGAAGAGTGTGGGGTGGGGGCTCGTGGGGACCTCAGTCGAGGGAACAGACATGGGTCCTGGTGACATCTCAACTTCTAGGAGGAGAGCCCAGCCCTCCCAGGCGGCCAAGACCTGCTTCCTGGAGCCACGTGAATATGAGAATTGATGGAAGACACAAATCCAGGCTTCCTGTGGACACCAGAAGCAAAAACCCACTGAAATGTTAACAGCACCGCTGTTCTTTCTCTACCTGGATCCTGGGGCAAGAAAACAGCATCCGAATAGTGACTGAAGGACACATAGCTCTCGGGCCCATCTATGAGTCCGTCATTGTGAGGGTTAAAGGTGATGTTGGTGAAGCCGGCCACACAAGCCCTGTAGGATGACAAGAAGGAAAGAGGCTGCTGAGACACGGCCACCACCCCAGGCACGTAGGGCTTTGCGCTCGGGAGGCTCAGCCCCAAAGGGCAAGAACCACCAGGCATTACCGATAGGAGCCCAGGGGTTCCAGCTTGCCGTTGTAATAGCCGTGCGTGGTCGACTCGTTCCCAACGTCAATTTCGTATTTCAAGACTTCAGACAAGTCCTGAGAACGTCTCTTTTCTTCTGTTGTTATGAGGTATGTCACATAAGTATTTGAGGCCCCCTTTTTGAAATCTTCATATGTATATCTCAAAACATCTGCAGATGGGCGAACAGCTATGAAAGACACACAGAAGGAAAGTCTTGAGAAAGGGATTCCAGACAAAGGTTTACGTCTTGCCCATGTCTACATAATGACATTGACACTGGGTGATAACGATGACAATGATGACAGAGCACAAGGGTGCTCTCGGTCCAGGCTTTACCTCTGTTGAGTTCTGTTTGACTTACATAATCTCTCTGCACTAAACGATAGCAACTAACAAGAGTCTCATCACATATATTGACTAGTCCCATCTTACAGATGGGAAAATGAAGGCCGGGAAAGCTAGCAGGACCTGGGCCCAAGGCCACACCGCCCACACAGTGGGGTTGATTTCTAACCCAGACCATCAACTTGGAGCGTGTGGTCTCATCCACCACAGGCTGGTACTGGTCATTGTGGTCACTAGGAAATACTGCCTCCTTCATTCAGCGAAGGTATAAGCTTGGATGTTGCTGAAAACCTTTCCAACACAATGACTTGAAACAGACCCCAAACAAAAAGCCAGAGAGACTGAGAGATCTCAGCATTAGTTGTTGAAACTCTGCCGTGCGTTTATGACACCAGCAAAGTCCTTGTCTTTCAGGATCCCCACTCCCCTTGATCTCTACGTCCTCGAGGAGGTGAGGACAGTTATCATGGGCTGAGAGAATGGACAGAGGTGCCCCTGCATGATTCATATTTAAAGAATCAACAAAAACAACAGAACTGGGTCCTGAAAGCCCAGCCTTGTGCAAAGCACCCACACACAGCTAACAAAGACACCCTCTAGTCGTGCCCTCCTTCCCACCAAAGAACGTAAAGGAGCCCTGTCAGGAAAGGGGGCTTGGGGGCCTCCTCCACTCTCGGCTGTGAGGATGGCTCTTTGCAAGTTCCCACCACAAATGCAAATCACTTTCTGTTTTCCTTCAAGAGACAGCCACCCTTTGAGTATGGTGGGGTGGGGGGGGGGTGTGGGTATGTGAGTGTGTGGGTGAGCGAGGGAGACAGAGTTGCTTAAGACTAATATTCTGCCACCTCGAGGACCCTGTGTTGTAAAAGAGAAGAAAAACCTAGATCAGAGGTCAGCAAGGTAGGATCCACAGGCCAAACCCAGCCAGCCACCCCTTCCGGTAGACAACATTTTATGGGAACAGCCGCACTCATTCTTCACACATCTTCCGCGGTGGCTCTTGTGCCACAACAGCAGAGTCAGGTGGCTCCAACAGAGACTGCATGGCCTGCAAAGCTTAAACTCTTTGCAGTCCAGCTTTTTACAGAAGGCCTGTCAATCCTGACCTAGACCGTCGGGCAAATAGCTCACCCACCCGCTTCTCAGTGCCAAAGCGTGGGCTACAGTGTAAAAACAGACACGTATTTGTAGCTCTAATGTGCCTCAGTGGGCACAGGAATGGCACCCGGTCATGACACAGCTCACTGGCTGTTTAACCCGTAACTGACCCCTCCTTACCGTCCCCAGTGGTGAGAATGAGCGCATAAGCTTTGATGGGTCCGTGGCTGGCTTCAAACCCACTGAACTCAACTTTTACCGAATTGTGACTGATGGATGTAATATTCGGGGATCCGTCTGGAGAAGGGGGATCTGAAACAGAACGAAACAAAACATGATCACCCACCATTTAAAATCAAAGAAGAGGGGTGCCTGGGTGGGTCAGTTGGTTAAGCATCTGACTTCGGCTCAGGTCATGAACTCGTGGTTCATGGGTTCGAGCCCCGCATCGGGCTCTGTGCTGACAGCCTGGAGCCTGCTTCGGATTCTGTGTCTCCCTCTCTCTCTGCCCCTCCCCTGTTCATGCTCATTCTCGATCTCTCTCTCTCTCTCTCAAAATAAGAAATATATAAAAAAAAAAGAAAAAGAACAAAATGATTAAGGAGGCATTTGCTACCATGCCCTCAAGTCCTGTCCTTGCTGTGGGAGTGGTGTGCTGGGCTCATCCAGAGCAAGGGGCAGGGAAGGGCAGTGGAAGGCAGAGCTGGCAGATCCCCCAGCTCACAATGGCACCTCCAGCGTGCCCCGCCACATGCCTGGAGAAAGCTCCCAGCAAACTTGCTAGTTGAAAACAACCTCTCTCTCCTATGTTTCCCCAGCCCCTTCTGACCCAGAGGAGGCAGGTGCCGTACCTGAAAAGCAGGGCAGGAGGAGAGCGACAGATAAAAGGCCTGTGTGGCTGGAACTCAAGGAGGGAGCTGTCCGCAGCACCTGCCCACTGCGTGGACACGGCACCAGATGGCTTGGTTGCTGAGGACCATGATGGAACAGAACAGATACCCAGAGGGAAGCAAAGCTGCAATGGAGAGAAGGCACTTTCTCCTGAGACCTGGCTGTGTTCCTGTTCCACATCCTTCACACTGAAGTCCTCATTTTTGCCTGAGTTGGTTTAAAATGCCAACCAGAGAAACCCGACCGACCCTCTTCCTAGAAACCAGAAAAGCGCACACAGGAACGTCCCACGCGTGACCCTCATGATGATGTGCCTCCCCTTTCTGAGCTGAGCTTGTGAGGTCACCCTCCGGATGAACACAAAAGAAGAAAATGCTGAATTAAAGATGATCCTTCTACACACACACACACACACACACACACACACACCATACACACATGCACTCTACCTAAATTTGTCTCCCACGTACAGTTTGAGTGTTTTCATTAGTGTGTCAAGATTCCAGGAGGCTGAGAAAGCTGAACAAAAACACCACCGCGAGGCTCCCACACGTGCCGCTGGCCAGCACGGCAGCCGCCAGCCACCCGGAACAGTTGAGCTCCGAAAATATGACCAGCCCAAACTCGGATGAGCCACACACATGAAACACGGACTGGACGTCAAAGACTTAGCACGAAAAAAGAATGCAAAGTATCTCATCAGTAATCGACTTCACACAGATCACACAAATTACTTCACCCAGTGAAACGATAATGTTTTCAACATAGTTCAATAAAATGTGATTGAAATCAATGCCAGCTGTTCCTTCTTACCTTTTTTAACGCAGCTCCTAAAAAAAGGTTAAATTCTGCAGGAGACTCACATTTTCTACCGGGCCGTGCAGCTCCGAACCAGGCTTCGGCAACCACTCAAGTAACTGACAGCAGTGACCGCTTGGAGGCGCCGTTCCCAGGTCTAATCGTCAACCGCCTGGCCGGACTTCCTAACACAGGCTCCCAGGATTCCCCCCAGCGCTCTGCCTTTGAGCTGCCCAGAGAGGACTAGACTGTGGGTGGCAGGCTAACTCATCTACCTGCAAGACTGGAAACGCTTTCCCTCTCTCTGCTTATCTGAATCCTATGCTCCAGGGGCCCCGTCTGCCTTACTCACCGGTGTCCCTTAACCCCAGGCACACACGGTGCAACTAACAAATGTTGCTTAAAAGACCATCACTTCAATTCCCCCAGATTTACCCATCCCACCAACGCTTCCTACCTCTCCTGGGGAAATTGCAGCTCCGCTCTTCCAGTAAATAAAAGACATGTTAAATTTGTATATGAAAATTCATCTGAGGAAAGGGAGAGCTACAGAATAAAAAGTAAGAGAATCCCTGGACTAAGTAAGTGGTCATTATCCAACCCTACCATACTGTTCAGGCTCAGAAACTACTTCCGACAAGTTCCTTCTCTTCACCAGGCACTGAGCGTAGCCCTAGAGATACCAAATCAGATGTGGCTGATGTTCCTCAGCAGCTCAAGAGATGACGTGATAAAAGAGAACTACAAAAAGGTTCATTATTTCCATTATGTTCTAGAGTGCTACAGAAACCCAAAGGAGTGTGACCCAGGGCCACCCTCTACAGTGTGGACTACACAACTCCAAGGAGCCCTGTGCACACTGTAGTCCATATGAATGGTATCCCCTGGAATTGTGTGCTGCACAACCTGAGCAGCCATACATGGCCGCTGTCAAGTGGCCTTCCATACAAATTACCTCATCTAATTTGTTTAACAATCCTGAAAGCTAGTCTTACTTTCCCTTTTTATAACAAAGAAAAACAAGGCTCATAGGGGTTACGCAGCTTCTCTGAGATCGCACAGCTAATACAAGGCAGAACTTAGAATCAAACCCAGGTTGGCCTGTCTAAATCCAACACTCTGTCCACAGAACCCCTCCACCACTTTTCAAGTCAGTGTCCCTGTAATAAGAGGCCTTTTTCTCTTACTATGTCAACCACGAATTCTTTGGAAATTGTCCAGAAACATTCTGATATCCTAAAGGAAACACATCCAGGGGTTGAAAAGCACAAAGCAAAACCAACCCGCCAGGCTGATCTAAGACATAACATTGGCAAAGACATGGCGAGCAAGACAGATAAAAATGAAGCAAAGATATAAGAAGCAACTTTCTTCCAAAGAAATAAGAACGATGAGCCTGAAAAGTCTGACTAGGGGGAATCCCCTGTGCAGTGAGTGACCCCCCACTCTCCAAAACAGCCAGAGAGCTTATCAATATGGATTCCAGGGAAATAAGAATCTTGACCGAATATATGATAATAGTGAATAAAAGTACTGTTCAATTTTTCAGTGCAATGGTAATGGCAATATGGTTATGTCTGAAAGAAAGGGGAAAGGAGCCCCTATCTTGGAGAAATACTTCTTAAAGTATTTATAAATAAAATTATAGAATGATGAGGACTGGTTTCAAAGTAATCCAATCAGGGAGGAGGGGGGTATAAATGAAAGAAGACTGGTCAAACTCCGACAAATATTTAACTGGGCGATGATGGCTATGTGGGTTTCTTTATGCTTGCCTCTACTTCTGTGTACATTTGAATATTTCTATGAAAATGCTTTTCTCATGTAATATAATAAAGGAACTCACTACCTAAAAGAAAATGTGGCAGCGAATTATTCTGTAAAGCAAAGGAAACTTTCGGGATTAAAAATGAGTCTCTCTTACCCTGCTCTTCAAGACTTGATTTCTACAGATTTGGGTTAACGGTCTATGCCAGCAGAAACAAATATTTTAGGGGCGCCTGGGTGGCTCAGTCGGTGAAGTGCCCGACTCTTGGTTTCAACTCAGGTCACGATCTCATGGTTTCGTGGGTTCGAGCCCTATGTCTGGCTCTGTACTGGTGGGGCGGAGCCTACTTAGGATTCTCTCTCTCCCCCTCTCTGCTTGCCCCTCCCCCTCTCATTCTGTCTCTGTCTCTCAAAATAAATAAATAAAGTTAAAAATATATATATTTTAGCAGAAATTTCAAAAGAAATACGGATTTCTAGGCCACACGTGCAGACCCGCTGGGTCAGCGTTCTCCAGGGGTGGACCACAAAGCCCACCTGTGATGCCAGTGAGGCAGGTGTTTTGGGTGGGAGGTGCCGTCTTGTTACAGGACAAGGCAGTGATGCTGATGTTGTAGGAGGTAGAAAAATTCAAATATGTGACATTCGTCCAGTACTCTGTGCCGTTCTCCGAGGAGCAGCTCTCCAGGTCTGTCACATTTTTCCAAGCCCCTCTGCTGATCTCCAGCCCGAAGCCTGTGTTGGTGCCGGGAGGGCAGACCCACTTGAGAATCAAGGTTGGCTCTTTGGGGACCACCTCGCAGCGGAAGGAGGCTACTGGTGCAGGATCTGCAAGGGAAGCACAGCACATCATCAGAGTCCGGGACGGGTGCCTTTGCAAACGCCGGCACTTAGAGGGCAGTCGAATCCCGGCTCATCTGTGATGAGGAGACAGCCGTGCAGAATGGTAGAGGACGCAGAGGCTGACGTTGAACCAGGCATTACTGAACTGTGTGACCCTGGGCCGGTTACCCAACCGAGCCTCAGCAGCAGGACTGTATGAGGATTCTGTGAAAGTGGCTGTCAATCACCACCCTGGAAGAGAACGGGGCTCTGCGAGAGCTAGCGATATCATAACAGTATGGAGGCAGCAACTCCTTCATTCTGGGGCCCTCCTGACAATCCTTCTGGAAGAGGTAGGGTTAATACTGCCCCACTCTGCCGATGAATCAACTGAGGCTTCGAGAGGTTGCGTAAGTTGCTGAAGATGACCTGGTTGCTAGGCAACAAAGCCAAAACTGGACCCTGGGTTTCCTGAATCCAAGTCCAGGGCATTTTGTATACACACAACATGCGGAATAATCAATAGTAAATGGGATCAGTTTCTTCATCTTTCAAATGGTGTGTTGTCTGTCTCTACCTGTCTGAGGACCAATAGAGTTTTGTTGATGGCCGACCCTAAACTGCTGTAAATAGAGAGCTCTGTACTAAGGTGCTGGGGGCAGAATACTATCACTGCTTCAGTGCTGCAGTATTTTAAGGCAGGAAAAGCATTAATGAACCACCCATTAACAGCTCCCACATGCTCCGCCAGAGGCCTGGGAAAGTAACCCGCCCAACACACCGCTACCCCCACAGCCCCTGTTCTAGCCACCCCCAGACATAAATGCTCGTATGTATTTTTCTCTTGCTCTAGACTGCAATAATTACAGCGAGGGTAAGTCTCGGCAGCAGAAGCCACCCAAATCCCAAAGATCAGCTTCTAGACCAGGTGGACGGGGCCCGAGGAGCAGGGGTGACTCGGAGCTACAGGGATTTCTTTAGCAGCTCCACCTGAAAGGTCAGAGGTCATCAAAGTGCCAGCTCCTACGCTACCAGGGAGGCTGATCCGATGACAGCCCTCGGCTTCCAAATCGGCCTGAACACACCTGAGCAGCTTGGTCTAAGCAAGGAAAGAGGTAGGTACAAAGAGGGGGAAGAATAAGGTGGTGCACGGGCGCCAGGGTGACAAAGGTGCCCCCATCAGACCCGTGAGCCCAAGTACTCACAGCCATCTGTAGAACACTCCCTGGGTTGCTCTCTGAAAGCTCCTTAGGTTAAACACAGGGCTACCTTTCTCTTTATAGCACTTTTTACACTGAGAGATAAGGACTGAGAAAGGCAAAAAGGCTGAGCATCCATTTTAACAATATCCTTTTCAATCTTCTTCAGTGGGAAAGCCAAATCATGAACCACAAGCCTGAATGGCATCCCTCTCCTAGCCCGTCACCTCCCGGGGCCGCACCACCTACCCATCACCCTCTTGCTCCCATTGGTCCACTCCTGCCATCCTGGCCTCCTGCTCTTCCTTCAACACAGCAGGCATACTCCAGCCTCAGGGCCTTTGCACTGGCCTTTCCTCTGCCTATGATGCTCTACACCCTGACAGCCATCTGGCCGGCTCCTTCACTTCCTTCAGGTCTCTGCTCAACAGTCACTTTTTCACTGAGGCCTTCCCAGGGCATCCTACATAAACATCTCCTCTCCCCCTTCTCTGTTCTTTTCCCTCTTCCTAGCAGTAATCATCATCTAATGACTTATTATCTGTCTGTCTTCTCCACCAGAATCGAAGTTCCAGGAAGGCAGAGACTTGGGGGTGTCACTTAACAGCGCCTGGCGTATAGTAAGTGTTGCATAAATATCTGCTGGATGAATAAATGAGGAGGACAAGACAGCCCTACTAAGCTAATGGGCTTTCTGGGAGAGTCCAGGGTCTGTTACCACACACGACCCGAAACCTAATAAACTAAAGCCTGCAGAGGACCCACCTGCAAGGTCAGCACCACACAGGAAAAAGTGCAGGAGGCACCTGAGGCTACTCACCTGTACAGAATGACTGCCTGCCAGATGCCAGTGGCGTGGTGACATTTCCCACTTGGGTGAAGATCTCCACTGTGTATGACGAGCCAGGTATTAACTCAGTGACGGTAGCATAGGTGACGCCAATGTCTGTGACTAGTCGTGTTGCTTGGCTGAAATTTCCATCCTTCCCGATATAAAGGTGGTAGGTATACCTGGGAGAAGCTTCATCAAAGTTCTGCCAATTTACGGTTGCTTCCGTGGTGCTGGTATTTACTTCAATGTTGGCTACATTGCTGGGCCCTTAGTTTAAAAAAAAAAAAAAAAAAGGCACGGATAAGCCTTGAATTCCAGGACTATTTTATTTACTGCATCTAAAAACAGCCTGGCTCCTGGGTGTCTGGGTGGCTCAGTCGGTTAAGTGTTCGACTTTGGCTCAGGTCAGGATATCACGGTTCGTGGGTTCGAGCCCCACGTCGGGCTCTGTGCTGACAACTTGGAGCCTGGACCCTGCTTCAGATTCTGTGTCTCCCTCTCTCTCTGCCCCTCCCCCACTTGTGCTTGCTCTCTCTCTCTCTCTCTCTAAAATAAACAATAAAAAAAAATTTTTTTTAACAATTAGAAATAGCCTGGCTCCTTTGAGGAAAGAATAAATAAAGCTAATATTTGCTGACTCAAAATACACAAGGCTTCCCAAAAAGACATTCAGAAAATAATTATACAGATTAAATCTCAAAAGAATTCATTTTCCAGGCTTCTTTTTTAAGTTTATCTGAAATACATTTTCCAGATATAATTTCCTATCTGTTTTGGAAATCTGATTAATGAAAGAGAAAATATATGCGAAAAAGATAATACAAACTACCATCTATCTGTACCATACAGTTAGATCAAACATTAGCAAGACGCCTTCCTTACTACTCTGCAAGCAAAGCTCCCCATTTGAGCAGTATCTTCTAATGTCACCAAGACAAGGTGACTCTCCTCTAGTCCGTATTCCCAAGGAATGAATGGAATAATTATGTTGTCCATGTTTATCGGATCTTTCTGCTTCTAAGGACAATTCCTTAGAAGCTCAGCACCAATGCCCCAAGAGAACACCAGAACCTTTGCGGAGGCCAATGTTTTCAGCTTAAGCAGCTTCAGATTCTACCTGGAGCCCCGAGACACAATGGCCACTTACCTCACCGTGTAACCAATGCTTGCTTCCCACCCTCCAGGAGAATCAGAAAGAACACCACTTACCAGGGTGTCCTTAAGAGACTTACATGTGTACTGAGCCGTGGAGCTGGGCTCCCCCTGGATGTGGTTCACCTCTGGAAAGATCGTGATGTTATATAAGGTGCCTGGAACCAAACCCCTGAGAGTGATCTCTTTGCGAGAAGTGTTTATCTTGTCAGAGCCGCGCTCGGACTGTATAACTAGGTGGTAGGTGTATTCGGAAGCATTGTCCGTACTCTGCCACTCCAACTCCATCCCGGTTGTGGTGACGTGGAACACGCGGATGTCAAAGACGGCACTGGGATCTGGTGGGAGGAAAGGAGGTACAAAGGAAGTGCCAAGGACCATCTTAACACCCAGCTTTATTGCAAAGTGTCCAGAGAACTTGCTCTTTTGCCAGCAAAGTCTCAGACGAGTTCACAGAGGGCAAACTCCAAAGCAAGCGAGAAACACGCACACTCCTGTCTTTCGAGAATTTTGGCTCTTCCGTGACACAGATGAGCAAGCTTACCAATCTGTCCTGTGGGTTCTCTGGTCTTTCGCTTTTGTCATAAAAACGCCCCCTTTGGGGGTCTTCTGGGGTGGAGGTCTTATTCAGATTCCTGATCTGAGTGCTGATGACCAGATGGGTTCAGTTGGTGAAAATGCATCAGACTATGCACTTACGACGTGTGTGTTTTCAATATGTATATTACAGCTCAATAAATAGTTTGGTGTGTGTGGGGGTGTGTATGTGTGTGTGGGTAGGTGGGCGTGTGTGTGGATGTGTGAGTGTTTAATCTAACTCCCTGAAAAGAAAACGTTTTCCTGTAACACAGGCATATACCAAAAAGAAAAACTGAAATGGACAGCTGACGTTTGCTAGGTTGAGAGTATTCAAGGCCAGGGTGGAGAAGGGAAAACACACGTACACACACACCCCAACCACCCTCCCAGCTGGGGTCAGAAGAGAACTCTCCCACAGGGGTACTCGGGGTACCCTGCTCCCCCGCATCTCACCTCTACACACCGAACCAGCTGTAATGTGCATGCACAGATCGAGGCCCAGAAATAACCATATAAGCTACTATTTTTCTGCCCTTGCTTTCAAAACATTTCTCTTTACCTGGGAACCCAAGTCCCCTCTCGTGAGAGGAACTGAGTGAGGGGACAAAGGAGGGAAATATTTTCACTGTAAAACCCTGTGTGTGTGTGTGTGCGTGTGTGTGTGTGTTTTACATGCATGTACCACACACATGTACTCTCTTCCAAAAAAAAAATTTTTTTTAAGTGCCTCCTCTGTAAAGGTAGGGAGCTTTGAGAGTCTTCTTTCCCTACCACCAGATTCCTGATGTCACAGGGATTCCACAGACAAAAGACCATAAAAGGACGCCATTATCTGGGTGGCTCAGTCAGTTGAGCATCCAAATCTTGATCTTAGTTTAGGTCGTGATCTCAGGGTTCAAGGGTTCAAGCCCCGCGTCAGGCTCCATGCTCGCCACATGGAGCCTGCTTGAGATTCTCTACCCCTCCCACATGCATTCTCTCTCTCTCTCTTTCTCTCTCTCTCTCTCTCTCAAAATAAACTTCAAAAAAAGAAAAAAGTACATCATTATCTATAAACGTAAAAAAAAAATAGAAATAACCTAAATATTCCATAAAAAGAGAAGGGCTCTATAAACTGTGATCTGGCTATATAATGAAACATCCTGCAGCCACTAAAAACATAAAGACCATACATACTATGGGAGGGAGGCTACAATATACACTGAGTTAAAAAAAAATAGTTGAAATACAAAATACAATTATTTGTATAATAATTACAACGATGTAAACAAAACCTATGACTGTGGACACAGATGTGAAAGGAATTCAGTGGGGTTAGAAGGCAGAGTTCTTCTTGTTTCCCTTCCTTTCTATGGTGGTAAAATATCCATATCTATAATTTTAACCATTTGTAAATGTACAACTCAGAGGCATTAAATACATTCACAATTTCGTGACACTATCATCACTATCTATACCCAAAATATTTCATCACCCCCAACACAGATTCTGTTCCACTTAAGCAGCAACTCCCCACACTTCCCTCCCTGGTAGCCTCTGTTCTCCTTTGGTCGCTATGAACTTGCCTATTCCAAGAACCTCAGGTAAGTAGAATCATACAATATTTGTCCTTCTGTGTCTAGCTTCTTTCACGTAGCATAATGTTTTGAGGTTCATCCATGCAGTGGGTATCAGAATTTCATTCATTTTTATGGCTGAATAATATTCTATTGTGTGGATATACCACGTTTTGTCTATCCACTGCTCTCTGGACACTTGACTGCTTCTACTCTTGGCTGATGTAAATCGTGCTACCATGAACACTGGTATACAGATAACTGATCGAGTCTCTGCTTTCAATCCTTTGGGAAATATAAATATCATATAAATACATATACATACATATACACATATAAACATATGTATACAAACATACACACACACACACACACACACACACGTAGAATTGGAACTGCTGAATCATATAGCATTTGTTTCCCTTCCTCAAAATTGCCTTTAATGCTGTTATACGGACTTTAATAATAATGGAAGTTGTTCAACCATAGAATGATAATCCCCGAAGAGATTAGTGCCTTATCACAACTCTTCATGATTCCCATTCAATGGGACTCAATTAGAGGTTACAGTACAAGAGATGTAACTTCTCCTCAACGAATAGGCCTAAATTGCTTTGCAGCTGACCATCAGTCCATACTCTGCTTGAGACCTCATTCTTCAAAGCCAGAGGTCAGTTCACTCCTTTGTCACTCTGGGCCCAGTTATAAAGCTCACAGAACTCCCATTTCCTGCTCTGGAAAACAGAGATGCTAACAGTGCCTACCTCGTGAAGTTATGACAAAAATTTTTAAATAAAAGATGAGAGCCCAGCACTTTGTAGACCCCCAATATATTAAGCTATTATCACATTAAGTTCTGGGCATTGGCAAGTCACACAATATCAAGTGTCCCCCACCACGGTAATCCTCATGGTAGCAACATTCTCAAAAGAAAAACAGAAATATACGTTGACGTTAAGACGCCATTGCAACAGTCTAATCTAAAATTCAGACTTGAGGGGCGCCTGGGTGGCTCAGTCAGCAAAGCATCTGACTTCGGCTCAAGTCATGACCTCAGAGTTCATGGGTTCAAGCCCCGCATCAAGCTCTGTGCTGACAGCTCAGAGCCTGACGCGGGGCTCGAACTCACAGACCGCGAGATCGTGACCCAGGCTGAAGTCGGACGCTCAACCGACTGAGCCACCCAGGCGCCCCAAAAACATTTTTTTAATAAAAAAATAAAATTCAGACTTGAAATGGAATTACTGCATTTCATCTAAGGAATGTACTTTAGCAGTCCGTTATTTTGGAAACAAACCTTGCAAGGAACTATCAATGCCTTCACCCAACCAACAGAGTTGAAGAAACCTACACAAGGAGAATCTCAAAAGCCCAAATGATTTCATGTGTGCCTAAAGGAATTAGGCCTCATTTTTTTATTCTTCCCTTCTATATAAAAGATTAATTCTCTTGCAATCAAAGCTCAAGGAATAGTGTATGTTTTCCAAGCTTTCCCAAAAAACGTGTTTCAAATTTTAAAAACAACAGTAATGAACATTAAATTGTTTTGATGAAATAATTTTATCAAGATCACTTAGCCTCAAAGAATAATGCTGTTTATGAAAGACTGTATATAATCTACAATCTACTTTTCCAACAATAGGGGAGTACTTGAATAATTTACAATACATCCATATGATTGGTTCTTAAACTTTTGAATCTCAGGACCCCTTTACCTCCTTAAGAGAGAATTTTTATTTATGTAGGCTATATTTATATTTACTGTATTAGAAATAAAAAATGAAGGGGCGTCTGGGTGGCTCAGTTGGTTAAGCTTCCGACTTGGGCTCAGGTCATGATCTCACGGTTCATGAGTTGGAGCCCCACATCTAGCTCAGAGCCTAGAGCCTACTTCAGATTCTGTGTCTCCATCCCTCTCTGCCCCTCCCCTGCTCATGCTTGCTCGCTCGCTCACTCTCTCTCTCTCTCTCTCTCAAAAGTAAATAAACACCAAAAAAATTTTTTAAAGAAATAAAAAATGAAGAGTTTTTAAAACATAAGAATACACAAGCATACATTCCATTAGCCATCAGAGTGACGATGTCATCCCTTGTCATATAGCATCTGGAAAGCTCCATTATACACTCATCATGAGAGAATAAGATTAAAAAAGCCAAATAACACTTTAGAAGCAGTATGATAATAATAATAACAACTCATCAACTCCTTGAAAGAATCTAGGGGACCCTCAGAGATCCCTGGATCACACTTTGGGTAACAATGATCTAGCCCACAAGTCAACTAAGTTTTCCTTTAAGGGACACAGAATAAATATTTTACATATTGTGGGCCATATATTTTCTATTGCAACTGCTCATTTCTAGCACAAAAGCAGTTATAGATAGTATATAAACACATAAGCATGGTTGTGTTCTAATAAAACTTTATTTATGAAAACAGGCAATGGCCAGATGTGGCCCATAGGCCATTATTATCTGTTGACCCGATTTAGACAATGGAATGCCAGGAAGATATTAAAATTATCCTGTAGAAATATTTATACTGGCAGGGAAGAACACTCATAATAAGCTGATATGTGGTAAGAAGCAGATTATAAAACCACATGAATAGGATGACTTCAATGTTTGTAAAAGAAAAAATATATAGGGGTGCCTGAGTGGCTCAGTCAGTTGAGCATCTGACTCTTGATTTCGGCTCAGGTCATTATCTCATGATTCATGTGATGGAACCCCACAACTTCTCTCTCCCTCTGCCCCTTCCCCACTCTAAATAAATAAATAAATAAATAAATAAATAAATAAATAAATAAAATATAGGCACATATTTAAAATTAGAAAAGTTATCATTGATTGTCTCATACATCAAAAATATGCCAAAAGTTACCAGTGATTATTTCTGGTTGATAGTTTACTATGTGATTTTCTTTTGCTTGTCTATGTATTTTACATAATGAATATGCATTACTGTCATTATAAATGTTTTTAAGATTTTCATTAGATAATTAAAAGCAGTATTTGGAAAACCTGGCATTATAAATTATACTGATTTCCTTTAAGAAACACCACTGTTTTACAGAAAACACAGCCTATTTGCTTACCAGTTCTATTGTAAACCGTCTGGGACTCCCCTTCAGTCCCATTTGGTCCTTGTGGAAATATTTCAAAACGATACTTGGTTCCAGGGTATAAGCCACCAATGACAATACTTTGGTTTTGGGTGGCTGTTTCCAGCGGAGATTTTCCAGCTCCTTCCTCTGTGGTAAGTATCTTGAAGAAATCTGCGTCATTGCTGCTCCAAGCTAAGCCAATTTCCCTTGTGCTGACACTCGTCACTCGAAAGTCGGAAACTGGACGGGGGGCTGTGGGAAGAGAGTAAACAACTAGATTTAGAGCCTGGTTCTACAGAAGACAGGGTGACTGAACCTCACAAAATATTTACACTGAGATTATATGCACACTTGGGACATCCGACCTTTCTCTCTTCTTTGTATTATCACCTACAATGCCCTTAGCAACTGGTATTTTTGGCTACTGAGAAAACAGTTGGCTACAAGAGCATAGAAACTGCATGCTTAGGTTGTACAAAGTCATTCACTGGAAATGAGAGGAGGGGTGAACCCACGTGGGCACGAGCTAACACTCTGGGGTAGGACCTTGGCTGCTGCTGGCTGCTTTATCTCAAATATATTATTAGGCCTCCCAGAACCTCTGTTTAGAAACATGCAGTAGAGGCTGCTGTTGACCCCTAAAACCCATTCCTTACCTGGCTTTTCCCTTAGTCATACAACCCCAGATTTTTAGCTGTGTACCTGGCTGTCAGAAGTAAAGACTATATTTCCCAGCCTCCTTTGCTGCTAGATTAGCCATGTGGCTGAGCTCTGGTCAATAGGATGTGAGCAGAAGTACCGTATGACTTTTAGGAAGTATCATGAACGCATGGAGCACTACCTTCTGCCCTTCCTCCTCCTTGTAGCTGGAATGTAGATGCAATACCCAGAGTTCAGGCCGCCTAGCTCCAGAACGGGTACGGTGGCTGTGGTGGCACCTATGGCTTCCTGATCCCCGGATTACAGCTCAGAACATATATTTCTGGAGCCAACACCTACAGTGGGGGTTGCAGACTGTGACAAAACTGCACCCCTTAGTGTGGGAGCCATTCCTGGGTCCCAGCCTAAAGCCTGCTCCCCCAGCTGTTAAGAGTTGAATCATATCCCCTCAAAATTCATATGTTGGAGCTCTAACACCCAGTACCTCAGAAGGTGCTTTAAAGCACCTTTAAAGACAGGGCCTTTAAAGAGGTGATTACGGTAAAACAAGGTCATTAGAGTAGGTCCTAATCCAGTATATGACTGGTGTCCTGGTAAGAAGAGGAGATTAGGACACAGTCATGCACAGACCAAAGGACAACCACGCGAAGACACGGGGAGAAGACAGCCACCTTCCAGCCAAGGAGAGAGGCCTCAGAGGAACCCAACCGTTCATCACTTTGATCTCAAACTTCTTGCCTCCAGAACTGTGAGAAAATAAATTTCTGTTGTTTAAGCTCTGCAGTCTGTGGTACTTACAACAGCCGCCCTGGCAAAATAACACACCAGCCCTCCCAATAACTCTGCAAACCCTCGGCTCCCAGGATCGAGTTCCTTTGGGCTGAAAAAAGCTCGTAAAAAGCTTCTGTTTCCTGCCACGGAGCCCTGGCTAACACTCCTCCATCCCGTCCTGCCTAGCACTGGTGCTGCTTCTACAAGGACAAAGAAACAAACTCCTGTTTTGTTTACGCCGTGCATACTTGGGAAGTTTTTTTGTTACTCACAGCCAAACCTAATCTGAACTAATAAAGGGACTGAAGAGTAAAAGTGTAGAAGGTGAGGAAGGGAAACCAGATTCCACTTACCCCAAAGAGCCAGTCCAGAAGACATTTGTAAAGGTGCCTAAGGTGCGCTTCCTAGCAAACAACAGACACCCAAGTGAAGCATTCTGTGAAACGAACCCTGGGTCCAGAGCCAGGCATCCCTGGGACCCACGTCTCTGCTCTGCCACTTTGCGCCCTTGGGCAAATCATTCGGCTGGGTGGGGCTGCAGCCTCCTTATTTGTCAAACAGGGTTCCTAATACCTACCATGGAGGCCATCGCAATACCCATAAAGCGCCTGGTAAGGTACGATACTGATACTGTTATACTATGTACTACTGGTATACCATTATTGCTTTACTTTAATTCTCGGACCTTCTTTGGAACAGAAAGCATCTTTTTTTAATGTTTATTTTTGAGAGACAGAGAGAGACAGAGAGAGAGCGCGCGCGCAAGTGGGGGAGGGGCAGAGAGACAGGAAGGCAGAGAATCCAAAGCAAGCTCCAGGCTCGGCACAAACCCCAGTGCAGGGCTCGAACCCACGAACTGTGAGATCATGACCTGAGCCGAAGTCAGACACTTAACTGACCGAGCCACCCAGGTGCCCTGGAACAGGAAGCTTTTTATTTGCTGCCTGTCATCTTCTCTTTAAAGCACAGGTAAGCAAAGAAAGGGTGAGATACATCTGTGCCCTGCTTCATTATAATGTCAGTATCCAAAAGACAGAGGGACGTGAATAACCAGGTTCTTTTTGTCTCCGTGCATCATTTTGCCTCTACCATGCTAGAATGAATGGTCATTACAAGCACAGGCTGGAGTCAGCCCAGCTGTTGAATCCTACCTCTGCTACGTGTGTAACACCTCCCTACAGCACCTCTCTCAGCCACGGCTCCCGGATTCATAAAATAAGGCTAATTCCAACCATGTCACAGGTCTGTGAACACTACATAAGACAGTGCAAGGAGGGGCTCCTGGGCAGCTCAGTCGGTTCAGGGACCAACTCTTGATTTAGGCTCAGGTCATGATCTCATGGTTCATGGGATCAAGCCCTACATTGGGCTCTGTGCTGACAGCATGGAGCCTGTTTGGGATTCTTTCTCCCCCCTCTTTCTGTTCTTCCCGTGCTCACATGCTCGCTTTCTCTCTCTCTCTCTCTCTCTCTCTCTCTCTCTCTCTCTCTCTCTCTCTCACACACACACACACACACACACAAAATAAAATTTAGAAGTGTAAAAAAGTAAAATAAAAAGAAGACAGTGCCAGGAAAGCATGTACACCATGTTCAGCACGTGGGGTGGGTCAGTCAACGATCATCGTTACAACGGTGCACATCTGGAAGGAGGTTAGAGTCCCTGTGGGCTCACACACTGAGCTGTGTTTTCCTCGAGGGTAGGGACAAAGCTTTGTCTCGTACCTGGGCCTGGCACAGAGCAGGCAGGTGAGAGAGGTCAGCAAAACAATGAGTGAACTCACGGGTGTACACTTGGAGAAAACCCGGCACGCCCTCGGAACTGTTGCCAAGGAAAGGATGCACCGTGATGTTGTACAAGGTACTCGAGTTGAGCGAAGTAATGACGACCTGAGTCTCATTGACATGGAGGGTGAAGGAATCCGTCTCCCCAGTGACTTGTATCTTGTAGGTATAGACAGAGGACGACTCGTTATCATTGATTTTCCAGGTCAGGGTCATGTTTGTTGCGTTGATGTCCACAACTTCAACGTCAAACACTTGACTGGCGACTGTGAAGACAGAAGAGGCGTTAACAGTAACCAGAATGGCCAAGCCAGAGAGAGAGACAGAGACAAACCATCATCAGGGCCTGTCATCCATTATAAGAAAGATTCTCAGCAATCATGCCTTCCTCTCCTACACATTTTTACTACAACATACATCAATGTATGGGGGTCCCAGCAAGTGTCAGACATCATCTTCAGTGAAGAGACAACCTGGCCAATTGCAACTGCATAGCTACCGCTTTGTTCTTCTTGTGAGTTTACTCTTAGAGATATGACAGGCTCTTCAAACAACAACATGGACTCTACTCATGCCCTGCCCAGGTCCTGGGGTGACCCAGAAACACTCTCAAGCATATATGCTTCCAGAATGAACTATACAGGACCCATTAAAGATTACACACTTTAGCGCAAGGCAGGTCCGGGTTCCAAGGTTAGTTCTGCATTAATGGCCAGGTAGTTCTGAGGAAAATCATGTGAGCTCAGTCTCCTCATCTGCAAAATGGGGGTAATATTCCTAACCTCGAGAAAAGATAACACAGAGCTCTAATAATCTGCCACTGGCCCATCCTACCCTCTCAATCCATGCTGTCCGTCCCCTGCCTGCTCTGTGCCCTGGAAGGCTGACCCCTACATGCTGCATCACTGCGGCTGGCAGGAAGGAGGGGCCCTACCAGAGGCCCTGGGACTGGGTTCCACCTGCAAGCAATGTGAGCAGGCGACCTGGAAGCAGAGGAGTAAGCAGTGAAGTGTTTCTCCCACGGGCCTCTGCTCGGGCTGCCTGTTCTGACAAGGCTGCCTCTTCCACTGCCCCAGCCCCCACCAGGTTCCAGAAGCACCCCTTCTTCCCCTTGCTCATCAGCCTTAGAGGTGACTTCCTACCACGACTAATCTCAGGTGTCTCAACGTGCTCTGATGATTTCCTTAACGCCATCCCACCTAACGAGATGCTTGAAAAATGCTTTGTGTGAGACATGTATTGTGTGCATGTATATACATCTAGATATGCACATATACACACACACATGCCACACAGAGAGGGTTAAAGTTACTATGATTATTACTTATCAAGTGCTAGGACAGTTCACACAAACCAGGCCATGTGTATCCATATATCTGAGAGCCTAAGATGCAATCACTATTTTTTTTAATGTTTATTTATTTTTGAGAGAGAGAGAGAGAGAGACACAGCGTGAGCAGGGGAGGGGTAGAGAGAGAGGGAGACACAGAAACTGAAGCAAGCTCCAGGCTCCAAGCTGTCAGCACAGAACCCGATGCAGGACTCGAACTCAGGAACCACAAGATCATGACCTGAGCCAAAGTCAGATGCTTAACCGACTGAGCCACCCAGGTGCCCCTGCAATCACTATTTAATTCTGTTCAGACAGCTTTAAAGCAGGGAACCCGAGGCCCACGCTAACCCACAAGACCCCTTTTAGCAAGTCAGGCAAAGGGCTCATCCTCTGGATGGAGCCAGCCCTGGGGTACATTGCTCAGCGAGGAGCCCATTCACCCTCTTGCACAAGCATCTTGTGTGTAGGATGGCCCCACCACTGTCAAAGGCACCCCTGGAGGGCCCCTTCTTCCTCCTCCTCCTGCCCCACCCTCTAGACACCGAGCCCTCCCACCTGCCAACCTGCTGGGTCACTGAGGGTCCCCAGAAGCCAAGCGGCCTTTCCTATAGCTACATCCTCCCCTCCTCACCCACACACTGGCATCACCGGTAGAACGGGAAAGAAGAAAGGAGGGCACAAGTGGACCCTCCTTCAAGGTGGACACAGGGAAAAGCAGTAATTCTTTACAGACACAACCTGTCATAGGCGTCCTGCCCAGACTGTCCAGCCCCTGCAAGTGACATGGCCAGGCTAGTAACTGCCTCTGACAGAGACACCCAACTCACGAGGATACGATCACAACTCTCTAGGAACGAAGTCGACCCCTCCAGAATTACCAGGGTCCTCGAGCTGTCACCCACTCCTCGCACCTCTCTACCTTCGTACCTCGGGGTCCACCACCTGCACTTTCACTCATAATGTTTCCTCAGTGGACATGTCTTCCTCCCTCTCTCCCTTTATCCAAATCCTAGTCTCTCTTCAAAGCAAGTTCAAATCCTGCCTATAGAAGAGGCCTTCCCTCGGGATTTGATGCTAAGATCGTGCTCCAGCCTTCCACTGTCTAGAGCACTCAGGGGGCAGCTGCAGTGGACGGTGGCCACGTGTCACCTGTGCGGCACCCAACAGCACCAAATCCCCCCTGGAGGGAGGAAGTGCTCATCATCCACGTAGAAGCCGGAGGACCACACTCCCTTCCCCAACGCAGCCATCCAGAAATCACGAACGTGACAGCGTCTCCATCTTGGGACTCGGACTCCTGAGGGTGTTACCAGGTACCAGCTAGTAACCAGGTGTTACCAGCCTCCCAGAGTTTCCTGGATCCTAGTCTTATTTTCTGCCCTGTATCCCCCAGCCCGCACCCCTTCTCCCTCCATTCTATGGGTCTCCGACAGCCTTTGAGAACAGATATATTTTTGGGTCAGGTAACCAGAGTGGGAGTTCGTGTTGCCTCAACCAAGTCCCTGAGGGTGACACTGGTGCAGCATTTATTCCTGAGCCCACGGGGCCTGACCATGGACTTGTCAATGCGTGGATGTCTCTCTCGACTCCCCATCTATCCTGAACTCCCCTTAGGAAGGAACCATGCATTTCTTTGCCCCCTCATCAGCACCAATCCGACACACCTCCAAATATTGGTCAGTTTACAGAGCGGAAATACCATTAAATTACAGGTAGGAAGAGCAATGCACATATCAACAAGCTTCCACAGAAAGATCAGCATGCACTGGAGGGGAGGTCAAAACAAAACAACCCCAAAACAAGCAGCAACAACAACAACAAAAAACACCTCATTTTCTTACCTGAAGGGGAAAATACTTAACCAACAAATGACAAGAAGAATAGCTAATTATAAGAGAAAAATATTACACCAGCTTGTCCCACTGGCCTGGGTGCAGAGACACGAAAGGAAGACACGAGGTAGCACCTCGCGTCTGCACGTAGCAGCTGCCCGATACGCGTTAGTGAGCTTTTGAAAGAAAGAAGCGTCTTGGCCACGTAGTTAAGAAGAAACTCACTGGATTTGCTCTGTCCGAAATCTCTTCCAGAAAACTCCCTCTGACAACACGAGTACTTGTGAAGCAAGAGATAACGGAGAGACGAGAATCACAGAAGACCAAAGTGGGTGCTGGAAAACGCGGGCTGAAGACATTCTACAAAATTCAACATACCCGTCCTGAACGTTATGCGCTGGGGCCCTCCTTCTGTGCCATCTGCTGCTTGAGAATAGATAGCGGCACAGTACTCCGTGTCGGGCACCAACCCCGTAATCAGGACTTCCGTGTCTCCAGTCAGAAGATGGTCCGAAGACAGGTCCACACGTTTGAGCTGGTATCCAGACACGGGGGCCGTGTGGTTCCGGGGTTGCTGGGAGAAGCTCTCCGTGGCGTTGGCATCTACTTCCATCACAAAAGTCAAATACATTAACTGCAACGGAAGCACATGCCTGTCCGCCCACAGCACCTTCCCCATAAGAGGACACGTCAGGCAGCACCCACAGTTACTACACCACAAATTCTTCCCTTCCTCCCCCACAGAGAGACACATCCTCCTAGAAGGACCCTGATTTTCAGCAGCTCTTTCGCTCTCTACTTGTAGCCCACGTACCACCCCCCTTCTCTTTCCAACTCGGCTGTTTTCAGCTCTTCCCCTTCTTTCAAGAAAATCGTCTCCCGCCCAGCTCCAAAGGTGGTCATCTAGGGACGGCCATTGGACTCAAGCCTGGCTAATCTGATCTCACTCCAGGAATTTCTCCCCTGGGCCAGACCCCTTCTGATAGGAGGTGAACTGGGGGACCTGCTGGTGGCCATTTCTCCCTGAGCTTTGGGGCAGGAGCCACTCTGAAGTCAAGGCCGATATGGAAGGAGGCAGGCGGAGGAGACGGGAGTCCCCTCATCTCTTGCTTCAGGGCCTTACTGCCCACAGCAGGAAAACAGACATGAGCCAACAAGTTGCTTTTCTAGCCCAGGCTATTTAAAGTCTGGTTTCTGTCAGTTGTGGTCAACAATCCTAACACCCCCGTCGTAGTACTATTTCCTGATGTGTAAAATGGGGATTAAGCACTTGTTCTTCTCAATTCACAGGGCTGCCTCTGAAAATGCTTCAAATCTGTAAATGGCTGCTCCACTGCCAATACAGAAGACATCTGCTAGCCTCGCTTGCTAAGTTTCGCTTTTCGCAACAGATGTGACAAGTTCATCCGATGGCCCTACTTGGGTTAATGCATCTAGTATTTGTTGAACTGACAGTTTAAAGAGCTAAAGGGGCCAGCTCCTTTCTGGGATGCCAGACTCAGAAAGCTTCAGCCCCTGTTACCATTCTGAACCCCAATGATCTGACCTGTAAAATAAGAACATTTCCCTCCTTCCTCATACAGATGTGGGGTAAAACTAACAGTCTGGAGCAAAGCCCTCTAGAAATTCTAAAACTCATACAACTACAAGAGCAATATTTCTTAAAACTATTAAGTTACTGAAAGTCAAAACCAGTATGGCAGATGAGAAGCACACTTTTGTAACTCACCTAAGCCACTATCTATAACCGAGGACTCTCTCCCTTCCTCATTTGATTCTGAAAGACACAGGGTGACCTTGTGTCGAACCCCTGGTGTCAGGTGTGATATGTTGACCACCAAGACTTGAGGCAACTCCTTACAACTTTCGACGCCTTCAAAGAGCATCCAGCAGGTGGCAGTGTCATTGCCATTCTTCCAGGTAATAGCAACTTGCGTCACACCCACGAAGGAAACACGAAGATCAGAAACTTGACTCGGCTCTATTTTAAAAAACACACAATGGGCATTGATGGAACAAGGTATTTGCAGTCACCTTTCATTGGGAATAACTGGGGTCACTGATATTCCAATGTGACTCACTAAAAATACTTTTTTTATATCAGGGTCCTGTGCAAGTCCATCATTTCACAGCAGGAAATGCCATCATTTCACAGCAGGAAATGATACAGAAAAGAATAAACCTGTAACCAGAGATTTTTAGGATCTCTGCTCTGCTCCACAACAGTTAGCTTCAACAGTGATTTGAGAGTCTTCGAAACTGTCTTCAAAATTGTCAAACTGCAGGGGTGCCTAGATGGCTGAGTCGGTTCAGTGTCTCACTTTGGCTCAAGTCATGATCTCACAGGTCACGGGTTCAAGCCCCAGGTCTGGCTCTGTGCTGACAGCTCAGAGCCTGGAGCCTGCTTTAGGGTTATCTCCCTCTCTCTCTCTCTGCCCCTCCCCTGCTCACACTCTGTCCGTGTCTCTCTCTCAAAATTGAATGAAAACATTTTTAAAAATGGGTTTTTTTTTTATTTTAAAAAAACAACAACGAAGCACTTAGTCCACAACCAATAAATAGTAGCTGATGAGGAAGGCCTTGTCCTGGGGGGCTTTCAGGTGGAATGAGGGGCTCAGCAACCAGGCTGGGTATTTCCCACCACCTTCCCACCTCCTCTGGCCTGTGTCATCTCATCCCCATCACCATTGCTAAATTCTATCTTCTTTTTCCCCCTTCATTCTCTTCCATCTTCTCCCTGCCCTCTCCACCTGTCCCCCTCTCTTTCACGATAGAGCAAACCTCTATCGTAGGGGTTTTTTTTTTTGCCTCTGAACTTGTGCTCTACGGAGCGACAAGAGTTTTTTGAGGGTACTGATGACACCCCACTCCTATGGGTCCTCTCTCCTCTCTCTCCAGTTCTTTTTCCTTATGGGGCTTCCAGGCAAGATTTTATTTAAAGAAATAGTTTCCTGGCTTGAAAAAAAAAAAAAAAAGCCTGCTGAAAACCGACAGTTTCATTTGCCTGTTCCGTGTACAGAAGGTGCCCTGGGCTCCAAGACATCGGGCTTCCAGGGCCTCACCAGCCAAAGAGATCACATCCCCAGATCAGAAAACCAAAAGAAGAGCTCATTTTTAAATGTTTGGTTCTTCCCAGCTTAAAAGAGCTTCTTGTCTCTTTTTTGTACTTTTGATTCTTTTCTGCTTAAAAAAAAAAAGGGAGAGAGCTAAATCTGCAGCTATAACACGTGCCTCAGGGTACTGACATCTAAGCTAAATAAAAATCTAAACCTAAGCGAGTGTCACTGGGCTATCATTTCATTTGAAACACGCTCTTCTATAAAGCACACCAAACTTCCAGGCCCGGCAAATACTCCTGAGAATATAAACAGCATTAACTTCCCTGCTGGGCTTAAGAAAAGCCTACTAATTACAGACACCATCAAGACACATGTCTAATGGGGTCACTGCTCCCAAGTCTTAGCAGAAAAGCAAATACTAGCCAATAATAGCAAAAGATTTTTAAAAGTGGACCTACTTAAAACCTCCCAAAGCACCCAAGACCTGAATACCAAATGATCTGCATTGATCAGGTAATGATTCAGGTATCACCTGAACTCCTGGGCTTGAACCAATATGGCATCTTTTCTCCTCCCCTTCCACCATTAACGAAAACCAATCTCTCCCCCACAGGCAACGTGAATGGACAAGGCTCTAGGATACAGGGTGAAAAGGAACGTCTCACGATCATTCCTGGGAGCTCATCTTACCTGTCACATCATTTGCGACCGTGGAATCTGCCCAAGTCTTACTGACTGTTTCTGAAGTGGTGAAGGATGTGTATGAAGCTGTTGGGCTAAAGCCTGTGGTGTTATCCCCAGCTTGACCTTCACCTTCTGTGTGCGTGTACATAGAAGCAGCTGAGTCCGTGTTTGTCCATGCTGGGGCCACACTGGTTGGACTGATGGACACAGCTTCAACGTCAGACACAAACAAGGATTCTATTTTAATATGGTTTCCCAAAAGAGGAAAGAAAAAATTATATTTAAAAAAGAAATATAAGAGTCAGGACTGCTCTGCATCTCTACTTTTCAGAAGTGAATTGTGCAATCACAGAATTTTATTTCCCTCTATTTCTCCTCCTGGACTTTCTTCCCACAAACTAACTGTAGATACATTTATGTATGTGTGTGTATATATATATGTATATGTATATGTATATGTATATATATATGTGTGTATATATATACATATACATATATATACATATACATATACATATATATATATATATATGTATATATATATATATATATGCATGTGTGTTAGTGAAACAGAAGGCTGCAAAACAGAGACCAAAATGACAGAGATTGGCAATGTTGGCTGTCACCTGAATACAGATTAAATCTATACAGGAGCTGATACAAAAAAAGACGTTAAGATGCTAAATGAGTCTCTCGCCATTCTTAGAAAACACGGTGTGTGGAGAGGTTTTACATGGTGCAGAAGATAACTTTCTTGCCAAACCCTGATACTAGGAGGAAGCTCCGCCATTTTGGGGCACAAAGATGACATGAGACAGAATAACATAAGGAGAAAAGAGCTGGTCTTCGAATTCAGAACTAGACATACGGGCCCACTCTGTCCCTTACCTCTGTGACCTAGAATCAGTCCCTTAAAGCCTCCCATTCTGGAGCTCCTCTATTGGCAGCTCTAATAAACTATTTTTAACATAAAGGATTATTTTTATAATATGGTAACCAAAGTCACTGGATTTGGACATTGCAAAAAATCTGAGTTCAGAATCCCATCCTGTTGGTCATTAGCATGTGATTTTACTCAAAGCCCTGGGAGAACATTCTAATCATTTTAGAGCAATGGTTCACAGACTTTTTAGTTTGCATTTCATTTTTCTTTCCAATGTTCTAGGCTTCAGCTGTGATCTGGTATCAGTCACATCTACAGCCACTGAAATCCATCTCAGTAAGACACCAGGAAACTTTTCAGTGATAAACTGTGACTGATTTGAGCAGTCAGATACGGCGGTCACCCAAACTAATAAAATGGCACCTCCCACTATATACTTGCTGTACAACAGGTTTTCATTATGATTTTTAAAACGAATCACAGTTCTCTCATCTCCCCTTTGCCCCCTTTTCTCCATGCACATAAGTTTTCTTCTTTGGCACCGATGATTCAAGGCTACACAAGGTACCTACCAGTTTATTTACCAAACTGATTCACAAGCAAGAAAAAGCAACTGCGGAGCTCTTCTCATTGTTTGTACAGACCTTGCAGAATCACTGTTATTAACTGAGATTGCCTTTATTACAAGGTTTCAGCAAGATCTGCCCCCTTGGCGTGGCACTGGAAGAACACTCTAATTATTTTATCTCTATGGTTCACAAACTTTGGGATCTTACCAATCAGGAAAAAAAAAAGTCCCCAAATTTTGAGGACAGACAAGAGCTACCAATTTTTATTTATGCTAAAAGGTACATTTTTTTAACTACCAAATACGGTTACATTTATTTCTTACAGAAACAAATAATGACCAAAAAAAATAGTAAGGACATAATCCCAGAATATATGGTGCTTTCAACTAAATATGTTTAGCATCACTTAAATCTTACTATCATAGTCTTAGTTTTCTCATTCTACTCTAGACTAGGGAGAACTTCAATGGGCCAACACTAGTTAGCAACTGGAACTCAGCCCTCCACATGGAAGCAAAATATATAGGAGGCTACGTCTGGTTTTCCAAAGGTTACATACACCCTGTATATCACTTTTAAAAATCATGGAGCAATATATCAACCCCAAAAAATACGTATAGGAAAACAGCACATAAAATAAATATAAATCATACTGCATTGTGACAACAGTCTTTTAAAAATCACCCACAGATGTAGGCTGGGGAAAGTAAAAATCACAGAAAATAGAAAATTTTTGTCAAAGTTGCGCAAATGATTGAATTCTTTCTTTCCCGTGCTGTTTCCACACTCACCCCACTTCTAAAATAAAACTGGAAACTAAGAGTTTGAACAAATTTGCATTTTCTGTGATTTTCACGTTGCTGTTAATGATGCTGTGTCCAGCAGGGGGCGATAACGAACAACACAAGAGAAGACAGGGAAGTGCTACTTACCGTCACCTGCGCACACCATCTGTAACAGAAAAAAAAAAACGGAAGTCAGTGCATTCATTCAGCCACGGAAAATGCAAATCAGGAATAAAGCAGTTGAGAATTTAATGATAGGGATGGGGTGTTAACGACTACATTAAAAAAGGCCTACTGGCAGGGACTAGGGTGTGGGGACACTGAATAAGGGAACTCAGTGAAACCAGAGGTCAGTTACAAACAATGGATTAACTCAGTTATATGGAGGCTGAGCCATCCAGTGCTCTTCCCCACACATACATCCAATACTGGGGCAGCTCCCAGGTCATCCCTCTCCCCTGCCACTGCATCATGAATTGATGCACAGGGACACAGACACACAATCAAGATTCTCTAGGGAAGCAAAAAGGAAAGCAGGACCATAACACCCCTTCCCCACAGCCATTTTCAGGTCGCACGTACAGAATGTAAAGCCAGGTGCACAACCGAAGAAATCTACTGGGTTTGGGATTTTCCTTGTGCAAAAATCCACCTTCTTCCTTCTGTCAGTAGGTGGCGTAATTTTTTTTTCTTTTTTTTTTTTTTTTTTTTTTTTTTTTAATTACATGGCATGCAGCTTTGGGAAGCATGAATGTTTGAAACAGAGGAACCTTCAAGATTATTCAGTTGAGTGTCTCAATCTGCCACCTTTAGATCCCCGGAGGATCCTCAAAGATACGCATCATGATCCATAAATTATTTCCCCATACTTTAATAACCTAAAATAATTTGAAGTTGTACATCTATTGTTTAGTAAGCACACTTTTTTGGTTAACAGGATTTTTAAAAGTATGGCCCTCGTAAAGAGGAAAATAATCAAAAGGGATTCTAGTGGAAAAAATGTCCTCCAATTTCCCATCACACTTAAATAAAACCCCAAGTCTTAACGACAGTCTACATATCCCCCCATGATCTCATCACGCCCTTCTCATTGTTCCTGAGGCTGGTTCTCTCTTACAGCCTTTACACATTGATTCCTTTCTCCAAAAATACTCTGCCCCAGACCTTCCTGTGTCATGGCCTAAAATGCCACCTCATCAGGCAGTCCTTCTCCAACCAACCAGCAGAAATTAGCACCTCTCACTCTGCATCACATCACTAGTATGTTTCCTCCTTGGCAATTTACCTCAATTATCTTCAGCCTCCTCCAACGAAAATGTATGCTCCATGAGAACAGAAACCTCATCTGTGCCCTTGCCTAGAATGGTGCATACAGTAGGCACAAAGTAAATGACACTAAAGGAAAGAATGAGCCTCTTGTTTTTGGAAAGGAAGTAATCCCCTAAGGCCTACAGGTGGAAAAACACTTGCCCAAGGTCCTACAGCAAGGCCAAGGCGGGACACGGCCAGGAGCCTAAGCACTCAACCCAACCCAAAGGAAATATCCTTCGGGCTTACCAAATGGAGAAGGCAAAGACAACATTCACTTTCATCTCACAGGTTAGGCAGATGGAAAAAAAAGATCTGCTCACCACCCTATCTTCCAGGGGCCCAGGCACCAGTCCCCAAAGGAAGCAGAGTCTTCCTCCTCATTCTTCACACCCCACGAAATTCAGGGCCCACACCTGTTGCTTCTCCTTTCCTACCCACCCACCCACCGCCCCCCCATGCTTTCCATTTCCACCCCCACCCTACCCCCTCAAGCCCCTCTTCGTCTCAGGCCTACACTCTTTCAGCTCATCTTCCTGCCTCCAGCCCCTGCCGACCATCCATGCCAGGCATCAATCCACTAGTCCCTGGATGGACTGCAGGATACAGAAAGACGAGGAGCAGGTTGCTAAGCAAGTCAGCACAGGCAGCAAGCTTTTTCTTTTCTTTTTTTTTCTTTTTTTCCACCCAGCAGTTGGAAAACATAAACTACCTGACCTCAAGACCCTAAAATGGCCTGTCCCAGCCCTCTGCAGTGTTATTATCTCTTCATATCTTCATATATGCCTCTACGTGTTGTATCCTGAACTGGGATTCATGCAGTCAACCATCCACCCAAACAGTGCCTACAAACATTGACGATCGGGGCCTGGTCTCTAACTGCTTTTAGGAAAGCAAGGGGAATAAGACATGTCTGTAAATAAGTCCTTCAAGGTAGAGTAGAAAGTACTGACAGGTCATTGACTAAGCAATTCTCAAGCGCCTGCAGGTGCCAAGTGCAGTGTAAAGCCCCAGAGCTAAGACAGACAGACAGACAGACAGACAGCCTCTGTGCCCTGCAGGGCTCACGGCTGAGAGAGACCGTTGAATCAAATGACAGGACAGACGGAAGGTGCCCCTAAGGTAGGTACCATTCGCAGAAGGAAGTCAGAGGAGGGCGTACACAGAAGGCAAAGAGTGTCTGTGCCTTTCGGTCTGTGTCCTATACAGCCCTAGACTCAGTAAACGTTGACTGGCTGATGATCATTACATGGGACAAACAGCTCTGAGTTCTAGAGGTGAAAGGGCAAGGGTCACCATCAATATGCACAGAGCCTGACTTGTCAGGCACTGTTCAAGTGCTTTCAGACATTAACTCACTCAATCCTCCCAATAACCCTAAATGTAGGAGCAGGTCCCTCGTGGGCCAGTGAGCTGCAGCGTCTGGATTTGAACCCAGGCAGTCTGACTCACGGGCCATGTCCTTAACCACCGGCCACCCTGCCTCCCGATATAAAGCAACTGGTGAGAAATATACCAGGACGTAGGGAAGGTTTAAATATCAATTTCAAAAGCTATCAATGTCAAAACCTTTCTTCCTTCTACCTCCAAAAACTCCAGCAAGTGAAGTGAAGAGTGTTCCTGACAAATCGGGGTACAGTTTCTCCCGGCAGCCCCCCTCAATGTGCCACACAAACACACCAGCCGTGTCTCTTCGCGGCTCAGCATGAAACAATCACACGGCTTCCATCTTCCCTGGCTTCACTCCCCCTTCTTTTCCTTCATCTTGACCTCACTGGGCCTGACTTCCTAAATAAAGCGTCAACACTTCAATCCTTTCCTCAGGACCCGGGGGACCTAAAAAGCCCAGACTAAAACATGAGACAAAGGGACACAAGAGAAGTCCATTAGGGGGCTTCCGAGGGAAAAGCTTGCTCACTAAGAAGAAGGAATCACATGCAAGAAAACGCCATCCTAGTTTGCCGCACTTCATCAGATCTGCCCGTGATGCCTGGAGCTGCTACAGCCTCAGTGTGACAAGGAGGGGAGAAATCACCTACCTGCTGAGGATGGCTGATGAGGAGAAAGGGGCAAACACCGGGATCCTTGTGCTACTAAATCAACCCATCATACACTTGTCCTACCGCAAGCCTTCTTGCCTAGGGAGATGCAACCCCCCTTTCATTTGGGGTTGTCTAATATTTAAAACCAAAAGAACACTGGTTGGCACAATAACAACAAAGGTAGCTAGTTTTCGCGTGAACCCTCATTTTTACAGATGAAGAAATTGAAAGGCCAATGATCTGTCGTCCAGCGTCACAGAGCTGGTCAGGGAGAAGTAAAACCAGGATGTAAGCCCCGGTCTGCCGGACCCCTAAACTTTTGCACTGATCACAGGAGAAAAAGACCCTTGCAAACAACACCCCCACAAGACACCTGGCATGGGAGAAACTTTGTGATTAGTTTTTAAAAGAATACAATCCGGGCACCTGGGTGGCTCAGTCAGTTAAGCGTCTGACTCTTGACCTTGGCTCAGGTCGTGATCTCACCATTGTGAGATTGGGCTCCACACTGAACATGGAGCCTGTTTAAGATTCTCTCTCTCCCTCTACCCCTCTCCCCTGCTCATATGTTCGCTCGCTCTCTCTAAAATAAAATAAAATAAAATAAAATAAAATAAAATAAAATAAAATAAAACAATACAATCAACAGAACTCATCCTTCTAAAAATAGCTCCAAGCCTACTTGTACCAGGAGGTGAAACAGGTTCACACACCAACCATGAAAGTTAACTGCAGAAAAGAGGAAGCTGGGGACAACTTCCCAGCAGTACCAGCTAAACACAATGAGAGTAACCTCTGCTCCTTCCCTTTCTAAGAGGATCCAGAAGAACTCTAGTGATTACTAATCAAGAAGGCATCCACAGAAATCATCCTGTATTCAAATGCCCTTCCACAACTGCTCCCTAACCCAGCGACCCTAAATCCTGATAGAAAAAGAAGGAAGCTTTCCATTTTACTGACTCCCCAAAACAACCCTATAAAATAGAAATTATACTCCCCACTTTACAGATGGGGACACAAGGGCTCAGAGTACACAACCCGAGGTCACACAACTAAGTTTCCCGGCTGGTGTCACTTGCCCCAGGCACAGGAAGGAGAGATGAAAACAGGTGCTTGAGGCTGGAGATAAAACTCTCTTCTCCTCCCTACCTCCCCCAGGGGCAGAAACTGAGCTAGATTTAGCGTGCACGGCCAAGCCTGGTGCCAGCGGCACATCAGACTCCAATGTTTGTCCCCTTCTCATCCGAGGCTCCCAGGCGTCTCCCTCCCAGCTTCAGCAGACCCATCCATAAGAGGGCTATGAGTGAGCCTGCCCTGTGGCTAGGACTCAGGGGATGCCAGAAGTCACAGCCCCTGAACCCAAGCTGAATGAGAGAGTAGAGCTTCCATAAAAAGGAGTGGGTGTCACAGCAGCACTATTCACAATAGCCAAGGTGGAGGACAACCTAATGTCCACTGACAGATGAATGGATAAGCTACATGCTGTACAGCCATACAAGGGAATACCAGTCAGCCATAAAAAGGAGTGAAATTCTGGTACATGCTACAACGTGGATAAACCTCAGAAACATTATGCTACATGAAATGAAGCCAGACATAGAGGCCCATATGTTGATTTCACTTACAGGAAATGTCCAGAAAAGGGAAATCCATAGAAACAGGCTGTGAGAAGACCAGTAGTCGCCAGGGGCTAGCAAGAGGGAAAAGGAAGCATGACTGCTAACGGGTACAGGGTCACCTTTCGGGCAATAAAAATGTTTGGAACTACATAAAGGTGGTGGTTGCAAAACACGCTGAATGTACTAAGTGCCCCTGA